TTTTTTTTTTTTTACCCTTATTTTTCAACTTTTTTGGGGGTGATGGTAAGAGATGGAATTAAGGTTTCATTTCGGTGGGAGAAGCTTCCGCGAAAATCCCGACGCTCGTGAAATTAAAGTGAATACAGCGATTCGTGAAGTACAGAACGGCCATGGAACAAGATTTTCAACGTTGACTGAATCATGCTTATTTTTGTATGTTTCGAAATATCTCTTCCCCTTGCACAACAGCTAGTTATCAAGGTTGTCTATGACACCTCAAACTGATGTCGTCACTAATTATTGTCCAAGGCACAATGATTCTCTCACGAGAGGTTACAGGCGGTTGTAACAGGTCTGATGACTGCGGGGATAAGACTCCCACTCTTCGTTGCACCACCACGAAAAGGCAACAAGCAAAGACAGTTAACTTATATTTACAACAACAATACCTTTATTCACCTTGTACTTAATTAATTACATACTCACGTGAAAGAGAAAAAATATATATTTATTTGTACTTAATAACGCCTGGAGCTGAAATAATCCTAAGATTTTCTAGCCAGTTCTCCAGAATTTAAAGTTTTAGAGAATTGAGATAGAATTTATTTCCAAAGAAGCAGTTTTAAAATACAATGTATTAAGAAAGAAAGAGTATATGCTTAAGTTATGTTAACTATGTTGTTCTGACAGCAAATAAGGTTTCAATTGTTTTTTGGAATTGGTATGTGTTTAGTTCTTTAAGAGTTATGGGAATTTTGTCCCAGATGGTACATGCAGCATATCCTTTGCTTTCGGCAGTGATACCAAGATCGGGGAGGTCACTAGCTTTCTTGTCAATAAGCTTCCTTCGGTTCGTATAGAAGCTATTCCTCATATCCCTTCTCGTGAACTTGACTATTATCTTTGGTGGTGCATCTTCTTTAAAAGTTGGCAATGGGTGTGAGGTCGATATATCTGCCTCCTTCACTTGTACGCCGATAGCTTGCCCAACCGCCATTACAAGCTGATTACACGTGTAACTCTCACTCGGCGGGACGCCCGAAATTTCAAGGCAGTCTCTCCTTAGATATTCCGCCAGGTTTTCAAAGCCATTCATTGCGTCTTGAGCCTGCTTTGTTGGATCGTCTAGGTCTTTCCGCATCTGCCTCAGGCTCGTTCCCTGTCTTTGAATCTTCTCATTAGCTTGTTTCAACTGTGCAAGTACATCATCGTATTTCCCATTTACGAAGTCAACTAAACGTTTTAACTCCTGAAACCCGTTCTTCAGATTGTCTAACTTTCGTTCTAAGGGTTCTATTGCTTCTTTTAAAAGATTCTTAATCTCTTCTTGTGTAATACCCATTTTTGCGCCGTTTTGGACGGAAGGCCGTTCAAACCCGACCGACCGCCATCACGGCAAATGCAAATGCAATTTACATGTAATACTTATCAGAATAGTGCAGATCTGTGCATCTCTCTTTGGTATATAACTACTAAAAAATCACCGTGATTCAATGTTAAGCTATTGAGCACTGAGGTATGATTTCTAGGCAGAACGAGTGTTTGAAATCAATAGACAATATACGAAGATATATTTTTAAACGAAGACCGTAAAAAAAAACTTTGCAGTAAATTTAATAAGTAACTAAAACTACCGCAAGAAGAATGAGGAGACAATGAAATCATAGTGATGTCTTTATTTCATACTTTTTTGTTTTAACAGTTTTCTTATTAATTCAATCAGTCATTTGAACTACAAAACACATTGGGAGATCTAAAGACACAAGCCGTGTTTAAACACGTGTTGGAAGCTTGTTCAACTAGATAGGACACCGGCATGTCTGTGTAAGAGGGTAACATGTCTCTGTAAACACTGGTGCTGTTTCTCTACGCAAATATTTTAAAATTGATCTTTAATTTAACACCGCAGTGCCTTATCTCAGATGCAGCGACTTAGAAACAGCCACCAGTCTACAAGTCTACAGAGTAAAGCCATATCTTTTCACAAAATAATGTCAATAATGACAATAATGTCAGTTGGATATTAAAGTCTGCTTGTCATAGACAAACAAACCCGGCCATTTTAGGCGGACTTAACAAATCCTTTTGGTGGAACATATTTGTAGTAAAAAAGAATTAAACATTATATTTCTTTCGGCTGTAAAATGTTGCCCAAACTTCGTAACATCAACATCGTAACTATTAACTGCATTTCTAATGTCAATGTAATTGTTTGCAAGACACAAATGTGGATGCAATTGGCAGATTCTGTCAATAGCTTCATCTTTCCTTTTAAGTTTCCTTAATCAAAATGTTAAGTGCGCAAGTTCTGGAATTAGCTGTCACAAAATAATTGTAAACTTTCCTTTCGTACAAAAACTTCGGCTAAATGTCAAGAAAAGCTTGTTTTTTTCCTTGTAAGTATAGGCATATTCTTTTAGGACATGGAGTTCTGGCGCATTTCGACCTTCACATTCTGCAATGATTTAGCGCTTCAGTAAGCTCAAACCTTTATTCACCATACTTCAGATAAATTACTTCGAGCTGGGCGAAACAAAACTGAATTTAACATTTTATGAAGGACCTACCAAAAAATGACACGTCCGTGAATCAGCTCAATGTTCAGCCTAATTTATATAATCATAATTTTGTTTTGCTAGATTGAGTCATCCAGTCGTGCATCCTGAGTTCAAGTTCAAGTTCATTTATTCACACTTATTCAAATTCGTACAATACAACAACAATAAGAAACAAAAAGAAGTAAAAACAGAGTTAGCTATACATTGAATTAAACATAACAAAAGAAAAAAGTGTGTCGCAGCCAAAAGAGCCAAACTTTCGAGTTGGCTACTACCACAAAGCGGTTACAAGTGGGTGGAAGTTATACAGACTACAAATGTAGTCATTCAGGCACCGAACTACAAAAAAACAGAATAAAAACATTTATGCTCACGTAAACGAACATCATTGGAGAAAGGCGAATCATGTTTGAACCAAGAGCCATAATGGCTTTTGGTTTGAACTTCATTTGACGAACAGTGAACTTTTGGGATTTTCAAGCATTTGCTGTGAATAACTGAGACTTGTGACATCCATCTATATCGTCCAAGCATGTGTTTGTACACAAATAATCCTAAGCCTGTAAACTAAGGAAAAAAATGAAAGAAAGAAAGAAAAGAAAACAACGCTTAAACAAAGTCGCCGTTCAAAAAGGCAGTGGTCTGTAAAACAGGTTTAAACCACAGAGACCGTTTTAATAAACTAAAGCTGACCAAGCTAGCCTAAGTGCTCTTTAAACTGACTTTACTTCCCACTTGAGTTTTTCTCAGATCTTATTAAACACGGCGAACGCTCAGATTTAAACAACTACGTCCCATTTTGATCCTTCCAGTCATTGCTTAAGTTTCGAGAGAATCATTTACCACCAACTCTATAGTTATCTTACTGAAAATAACCTTATTTTAGAGTTAACAATCAGGCTTCAGATCCCTTCATTCTACCGCTACTGCTCTGCTTGAAGCTACGGACAACTGGGCATAATGTAAACTCAGTCATTGTTAGATCTTAAGAAAGCTTTTGATACCGTCGATCACGATATGCTCTTATGGAAGTTGAAATTGTATTGAATTGACGGTATTTCACATAGCTGGTTTAGATCTTACTAAGATTGTCGAAAACAAGGATGTTTTGTTAATGTTCAATAGTGGGTCTATAAATGATTTACCTAATTGATTGCTGAATTTTCAACCACGAATGTACGCTGATGATACGCACCTAACCTTTGCTGCTAATACAATATATTTCGAACATTGACAGAAATCTAAATGAAAACCTATCTAGAGTTAACACTGAATTGGCTTACTGCAAATAAGCTCACTGTTGATGCATCTAAAACTAAGTTTATATTGATTGGATCAAGACAGAGACTACATGATTGCTCCTCACCAAATATTGCCTCGGAAAATGCAACGAAAGAGCTTCTACGCCACAGTATTCACCGTATTCAGTTGTCTGTTTAGCTTTCTAAAAAATATATTTCCCCTTTTTTTAGTTTCTACCCATGGTTATTTAGGGTAGTTAATTATTTCTTTTTCTTTTTCTTATCTATTAACATAGGATTCCATGCCAAAATAATGCAATTGAACGAATTAGAGACTGCACTCTTGGGTAGGAAATCAGCCAGTTTAATATATGGCAAACGGAGACCGAATTTTCATGGCTTGCATGCGCGATGATTACGCATGCGCACTGATGACAAAAAAAATTTATTGTTCAGTGGTAAGAAACACCGTGAAATTTTAAATAAAAAGTCTGCATATTTAGCGGTAAAGGAGAAAAGAGTAATTTATATCATGTTAGCATTAATTAGCAAACTACAGGAGAAAACCTAAGAGGACTAATGACATATCCTCAGGCCTATCATAATTCATTAGCGAGGCAAATTCGTGGCTTTTAAGCTGAATATATTTTACGCGCTGCTTTAGTTTCGGGTTTGGCAAGGTCCGAAATGATACGAAACCAAGACTAAACTTAACCTGCAGTGCCGACAGCATATGTTCCAAAGATTTGATAAGTCTTGTCCTGAGAATAATTGTGAACCCTTCGATAAGAACCCGCTTTTTTTAGAGTGTTTATAGTCTGTAGGCTTTCTGTTAAGGTTAAATTCAATCGCTCGTTTAAGTCTGTACTTTGCAGAGAACAATGAACAAACGGCTCCCCCAGAAATGGAAGTACCAGACGAATTATTTGCTTAAAAATGGACGGTAGATTTCTTGCAGGGATCATTAAACAGCGCAATAAACAGTGACTGGGTGACGATCAGTGGAAACTTTGATCAAGTGCCCAAGTCTTCCAAAACGTTTTTAAGAATAAAAACACGTTTAAACACATTTTAGCATTACAAAAGAGTACAAAGCTGACGTGTTAAAATAGATAATCATAAACTACCTAACGGATTAGGAGCAAAGACAGCAAGGAGTTTTTTTTTTTCCAATGTAAAATATTTAAACGTTATCTCATTGTCTCAATCAGTCGTTTGATTTTGTTGCACTTCGGAAGGCTCTTCTTTTCAATACTGTTTTCATAACTCTATAAGTGGCGCAAATAAAAAGGTAAGCGACCGAGGGGAATATGTCCTCTCAGACCAAAGGAGAATGGACGAAATATGTAGCTTTGATACAACGGAAATTTTCCACTTTTCTCTTTCCTAATAAATGCCTGCCACGACGGCTGCATACAAATATCACGAAATATCGGCTAAATATGTTTCCGGAAATTCCCGATTTTTTTTCTAAACATCTCGAAAACGTTCTAATATCTCAAAAATATCTGGCTTTATTTCATTAATATTACAGTAAAAATACAAAAAAGTAGCCGGTCATCCAAAATGGCAACACAAATTTCAGCTTTTTGGTTGAACATTAGCCACATTGCATAAATTATAAACCGAGAATATTGCTGAATCTGATTACAACAGGCCCATATTTGGAAATTAGTTTGAATTTCTGTCACCGAAATGCCCATGCCCTAATTAGCATTGAAGTAGCTGCCTAGAAAAAAAATGATTTCAGTACTTTTTTCGTAACAAAATTCTAAATATCACAATTTTTTCCTAAATATCATGAGATTTTCTAAATATCTCAAAATCTTCTAAATATCTTTAAAAATATCCGAATACTTGTATCTAAGCCTACTCCGAAATGTTAGCATGTTTCATGTCAAATCAGTATTGGAGCGAAGAAGCGAATCACTAAAGGCAAGTCAGTAACTTCTTCATTGCTATCTGAGAAGTATCAAAACCACTATCAGTAGTCAGTATTAAAACTGCTACGTGGTCAGGATTTTTGTTAAAACTATCTACTAGCTTTTTACTAAATATAACACTAATTGTTAAATAAGCGATCCAATATTTAAAGGTTTCGCCCTCGACACAGACATATTTTTAATTATTTTAAAGGGATGCTAAGAATTCGTGGCATGATCCTCATCAAAACACATCTACTTTAGTAATACCTGTTTGCTTTTCACAGTGTTTCCAAATAAGAAGGGAGAGTACAGCGTTCTTTGGTCAGCACAACATCTTTTTTTGGGAGTCAAAAGCCTCATAACCGTCATCACCAAGTATAAAGCTCGAATTGCCCGCTCATAAATAAGGTGTAAAAAAAACGTTTGTTGGTTAATGCACAGTAAATATTGGAAACAATGTTATTGATAACAGTGGAACTTCGATATAACGAAGGGGCAAGGCCGGACTGACAAAATCTGTTCGCTACAACGAGGTTTTGTTATATCGAGGTTCTTTTCCATACATTTTATTATTACCGGGCAAAGAAAATCATTCGTTATACCGAAGACTTTGCTATATAGAGGTTCGTTATATCGGGGTTTCACCGTAGTACTGAGAACTGT